GCAGGTTGCGGGCTCATTTCTAACGCAACTCCCGCGCTAAGTTCAAGTAGCGACATGAGAGATGGAAAACTTTACAAGAAAAAGTTTAGTTTTAAATTAGGGAAGGAAACAATCCAAGACTGAAGAGGGAGAATGAATAACTGTGGACTTTTTTTAGAAATTTGCCTTAAAAGTAACAGACATTTGCGCCTTGGTGTTGAAAGGCAAGCCCTTCAGTAGCAATTTCAAAGCTATCTTTGCTTTGCCTTTAGGAGGGTGTGGCCAGTGAGGATTCATCATCTGCTTCAGCAAAGCTGCCTTCCAATAGAAATCACAAAATACAATTTCCTTTTTTATTTTTATACTTTTAACTCTTCTGAAATGTGGTCTTCTCGTGCGCCTCGTGGTTATTTTCACGGCAGGGAGATGTCAAAATAGCACGAACCGTAACTATCTCTTATTCTTTGGTCCCTTACCAAAAAGGGTCACAGTTAACATATCTTATTAAGCGTTTTGTTGTGTAGTATTGCTGAGTATTTTTACGAGTTCTGCCGTATTTTGACGTGTCAAAACACAAACAACGAATAAAATACTCAGTAATACTACAAAACAAAGAGTTCAATGAGAGATTTATTATCCAACATGCCAAATTGTTATTTCTATGCGGGCGAACTTCTAACCGGCTCTCTGGAGTACAAATACCGCGAGATATTTTTTGGGCGTTATTTGTATTCTACGAAGCACAGTTGGATAATAAAATACAGTAATAGAATGTGTATTATCGATTGTGTGTTAAAGCGTCCTTTCTATTCCAGTATGTAAACCATATATCCTTTGAAGAGGTTCGCCAAAGTTCAAACACCTCGAAACAATTAAAGCTGGTAGAATATTCAATCACACACGCATGTTGATGATATGCAAAATTTTTTTGATGCCAGTTTCTTCGTTTTCACATGCTTTTAACACAAGTGCCACTAGTGTCTACAACAAATGCTTGCTTTTCATAGATGATAACCCCACCTTTAAACTCCTCCCAGAAGAGTGCTGCTTTGAACAACTTCACCGGCTGAGTTCACTCCAGTGGACGGTGCCTTTTGGATTTCATTAAACCCTCATTCACGAATTCAAGACAATCCAAAATGAAATACGTTATGTTTTTGTATACTGATACAGAAAGCAACAAAGGTGAAAAACTAAAGGATTACTTGTAGGGTAGGCTGCGAAACTTAGCAGATTTGAGAAGCATCGGCGAAATTTCTGCAGAGGAAGGAGATTTCAGGAGCGAACTTCGCTGCCGCGGGGACTGGATCGTACTGGTTGGATCACGCCACGCTTCTTCCCTTATCAAGGGAAAACAACAAGAGGTGGACGACGATTTCCTAACTTTTGATGGAAAGGTTATACATGAAGAGTTCACGGGAAATAAAGAATTTATCGACAAACTGATTATTGTATACTTGACGACGGAAAGAGCCACTGATGATTGGATCCCAGATGGTCTTGATGAGAGGAAGATATTTAATCTGCAAGGTGAAAAAATTGGGGAAAGTCCCTTGCTGTACCAGCTTGAGTATTCCATACGGAAAATACTGCTTGGAGATTCCTTTATGATGTAGGAAACGCACTGTTCCGTGTGTATACGATAAAGTGAAAAAATGTTTCACAAGAACTTTGAGTTCCAGCTGATTGAACCGCGTATCACATTCTGAGTTTTGAGCCTTGTTAAGCGGTATTTTTAATGTGTCCTTCATAACATAAGTTAGATATAAATTAGTATGTACTCGTTTCTAAAGGGTGGAACGGAATGCAAAGGATCTACAATCAAAGTAAGGATAACACGTTATAGTTAGATTTTGATATCAACATTGTGTAAGCAAATAAGATATTAATTGAGTAAATCAGTAATCGACGATACATGTGTGCAATCAATTCACGGTTGTAAAGTAAAGCATGATTTACAAAGTTTGTGTGGAAATAAAGTCACAGTCATAAATAAACTTGTGCAAACAACAAAACACTAAAGCGTTAACTGCTTAAAGATATTAATGAAAAGTCGAGAATTAGTTGCATAGGCATGATATATAGCCTGCTAGGGCTTTCGAAGACCTCTATCAAGCACGAGAAATGTTTGGGTTTTCTGAGAATTCGAAACGCACGCCTGGTTCTACATACGCAGAACTTTGAAAGAGTAGCTACTGATTGTGACATCCACGTAGAAGCGTGATTAATTCAAAAGCAGACTTTGGTATTTTCAATCCTTATATCATATCGCCTTGCTTTCAATCGTCATTTCTTGTATTTTCCACTTGAAGCCAGCTGTTCTAATCGGCTCCGTTGTTTTCTAATGTGGTTACGCTTTCTTTTTAAATCAACTGTCTGTCACACCCGTTTTCCCTTTGTTTCTTATTTTCAGCCGTATGGTTGTTCACAAAGATTGTTGTTGTTGTTAGTTCCTTTAACATAACAGCCCTGATTGCAGCTTTGTAAATAATCTGACGAAATTCTCGTAATACCCATGGCCTCTATCTTCTCCTTTCAAAGGCAGTTGACGTCTCCTTTTGTCGCATAAAACTACAACTAATGGCAATTGCCAAATAAATGTCTCAATATCAATGTAATGTAAACAGACACCCGTTTTAATCTTGTGCAGGCCTCATCTGTTTCACCATCTTTCTCATCTTTTCCCTGAAAAAAGAAACATGGTTAAAAAAAGGAACAGTAAAATGTCTACTTGAAGATGATAATAATAACTTTATTACAATGTCTACTTGAATGTGGAAAAAATGTAAATCAGAACGTTGTATGACATCTTTGAGAAAGGCCACGAACGAGATAAAATGTAGGCACTCTTACAGCAGTTTTCTTGTTTTTACTTCAGTTCTTCCGTTCTCTTTATGCTATTTTCCTTCGTTATAATTCTTACTATGATTATTCATCTGTTGGTTTTACGACTCTCGATCGATTCGCGCTCCATGCGAGGTTCGTAGCGAGAAAGAAGAGAAAATAAGGAATTTTCATTACCTGATCGCACTAAGTTTTTCTTCGACTGACTCCCACGGATTCCGATCTTCACTGAATTCAAGAAGCTCTAGAAAAATATCGTAACAAGTTAGAACATAAAGAAACTGCGGCAACCGTCTTCATTACATTTGACTGCATATTGTCTTCTTCTAATTTAACAAATCACCTTGATGAGAGACTTTCTACTCCTTACCCTGGTAGATTTCTATAAAGCTCTCGCTCAAAACACAAGGGGGGGAGGTATAAAGTACGCGGCCCCATTCTCATTTTCACGTTACTCGACCCCTCTCAATCTCTACTTCTCAAATGACATTGAACTGACAACACTTAGAGATGATAAGTCTAATCAAGCATTCTCAATCCCAAGTAATTCACTACCGACCTTTTGCGAGATTCATTTCACTGATCCAGTCTCCCTCTTTGTAATACTTCACACGCAAATTCTGCAGAGAGATAAGTCGTAGTAAAACATATCAATTACCTCCTTCCGTCCCACATCGCATTCTAAAGCCCACGCACGCGCAGTATATCTGCGCAATCGCACATGGTTTCAATAACACAAGGTGGTAAGTGCTTCTTGTTACACGAGTCTCATCTAGTATTTGATACTTACCAGAAAAGGAAATCTCTCCATGCGAGTGAGTTGTAAAATCCGATCAACATCATATTCCAGGCGAGAGAATTTCTTGGCCTGAGTGTAGGTCGTGCTCATTTGTGCAATGAGAATGTTCAGTAGAATTACAGTCACTGTCCCCATGTACGCCATCATCAGCAGAACTGACAGCCAGCTGCAGGAAAGAAATATCCACAAAGTTTAGCTTATCTTCTGAACACGAGTATATATATAGACTCCAGATGTAACCAAAACCTGATTCTCCATTACAGACCTGCTTCTCTGAAGAGGCGTTTTAAACACGAGTGGAAGCACAGGCGGCCCAGGCTCTGTCACAGGCTCTGTCACAGGCTCTTTCACAGTGGATTATTATAGAGTTTGTATAGTGGTTTAGTTGGACTTGCTTTTGAGCTCCGTAAATATAAAGTTGTGTGAAATAATCAAAGAAATCAGTAAAGTCTTACCTTCATAAAGAGTAGTCTGTGCTAACCTTGTCGTGATTTGAGGCCGTTTTGCTGTGTTTCAGCTTAACGTCCCAGCACTACCAAATAAAAGGGAAGGTAGGAAAGCTCTGTCTCACACTCGCTCGCCAAAATCGCTCGAAAAACCCCCTTGAATCAAAACTTGGTAGCACGAAAGCCAAATAGTTGCCCTTTAAGTTCACCAAAACAAATCCCACAAAAGTTGGGTTGTCGAGCAACCAGCCCAGCGAAAATCTCAAATTGACCGCCATTTCAACGCCATTAGAATGCGCGTCCGTCAAATCCTGTGAAGTCAAAAGTTCATTACGACGCGGTCGGCCTGGACAATAGAAAAATTAGGCCCAACGTGTGACAGAGCCTGGGCCGCCTGTGGTGGAAGCAGTTGTGACGTGCACAGAGAAGTAAAAACTTAAAAGATTAGTGCCCTTTACTTGAAAGTTGAGTAGTCTTCAGCCATTGGATACTGATCAGACAGTGCTCGAAATCCGCTCAACAAGACGTCTCCAAAACCACTGAAAGCAAAGTCAAAATGAAAATGTTGGGTTTTTGCACTTCGCGTGGGTTATATCCACCATCCAAGTTACGGCGTTCAAAAAATGGTTTTTGCAAAAGGACAAGAATAGTTTGAATAAACGGAAAATCTAGCCAGCAAAAAAATAAAAAGACATCAATCCAAACAAATTTCAAAGGAAATTCTAGAATATTTGATGGACTAATAGGAACCACCCCTTTCCTTTTTTTTTTTTTTTTTTTTATCAAAGACAACTTCATAGCTTTGTTAAGGAGATATGATCGACATAAACGCACCGAAGTTCTTGGTTTTCCCTAGGCCCGGAGTAACAGAGTGATAAAGTCAAAGCACCACAGAAAGAGAAAAAGATCACAATAAAAACTGCCATGGACCTCGTGACGTCATGTAATATGATCTTGGCCAAGGTTTGTGTGTATAATCCTGTAGTCCTAAAAAAGGTATAAGGTAATATTTGAGCATGTAAAGATGAAACAATTTTTTAGTGTAATAGAAAAAATCCGAGCCCCAGATGGTAATACTTGATTAGATTATTACGAAGCGATCAGTTTTAAGTCATTAGCAGTCTTCCCTAACCAAAGTAATCAGTTGGGAGTTGTAGGTTACCTTGACACACATGAAAACTTAAAAATCCTCGTGAAGTTGAAAAAGAAGGCCAAAGATGTCACCATCCACTGAGCTCTATGATCCATGTATCGTAACGGTATTATACACAGGATCAAAAGCAGGCCTAACCAGTCAAAGAGGGCCATCCACCCTGTGAAATAAGAACGCCCCTCTCTGCAAGAAACCAAACAAATTCCATGATTTTGCTCCTCTTCCAAAATTTTAATTCAAATGTGGGGTCATTAATCAAACTAAAGGTTCAAACAGGAGGTCATCGTGAAATTTTCGTAGTAACCCTTGTTGTAACTACCTGGTACTTACATTCTAATCTGTTTTATCTCCTCACAGATATAAAACACAACCATAAGTAGAGTGAAAACTTCACAAAATCCACGCAGTGAGTCCAGGGCACTGTTGTACTGGGTGGGGTCCAGTTTGGTTGAGGCATGCAGCTGAGAATATGACATGAGCAGCAAGAAGATGCAAAACAAGGCTACTTGGAGGCTGCAGAAGAGACGAAATAATTAAAATTAACTCCATAGGAGTAAAATAGATCAGAAGTGGGATGGGATTAGGAGCCCCATGGGAGGCATTGGGATTTTCAGTTTTGCGGTTTTGGCTATTTTTTTAGATCGGTTGTTCGGTTTTTTTGCTAAAAAACGTCGGTTTTTCGGTTTTGGTATTCATTGCGGTCTGCGGATTTTCCGTTTTTTAAGCATTTGGTTTTCGGTTTTCGCGAAAAATACTAACGGGTTTTCGGATTTGATATCCGATGCGGTTTTCGGTTTTTCCTATTTGGGTTTCGGTTTCACTTCGATCTGAGCGGCAATCACGCACCTCCACTGATCTCGAATAGCTGCTAAAGGCAATTTTTATTGAGAGGAATGCGTGATAAACCAATTGAAATATCGCATGGATACCAGGGGGCTTGTGCATCTTGAATGACGTCCAAGACTTTGACAATCTGCATGGGTTCACGCGTCTTGAATGACGCCCAAGACTGACCTTGCAATGTGGAGCACTTAGGTCAAGGTCGATAAGTTTGCGAACCATGTCTTCCGACGTGTTAAACGCGCAGGCAACGGAAGAAGGTCAAGGACCTTAAGAAGCAATTGTGGATTGTGTCGCGTTTTTTTCACGAAGAGGGGAAAGGCGGCGAGAATTTCAGAAAGAAAAACAAGTTTAGATGCAAAGAAAAATGAAGAAGAAGGAATCCTGCACAAGCATAAAAGCAGCGTTTGGTAAGTCAATCGTACCAATATCATTGTTTACATTACAATAGCTTAATCGCTATATCCTATAGAGTCCTAAAGTGTGACGTCACGTTGCCATGACAGCATTTTTTTCTGGTCTAAACAGTTTAAACTCATACTTCAAACATGGCGTCTTTATCGATATGCTCACTCGTTTCTTTCTTTTCTGGAGAGCGGAAATCGCTTGATCGCGGAGAAAACCACTTCAAATCCGACCATGTCCAAAGCTTTATTTATTCCAGGGGAGTCATCAAAGGTGAAGTCCAAGCAAGCATGAAAAATAAGGACTACAAAGTCACAGTAAGTTGCCAATTTGGGATCACAACACGTATGTTCAATTCGAAGAACTCCCAACCCCGATTTCACCTCCAATTTAATGTTTATATTGCGGAATATATATTGCAACTTACGTGTCTGTTTCGAATTATCTTTTTATCAGATTTATCTCGATGAAAACCTTGAAATAAAAAACACAGAATGCGAGTGTCCTCGCGGCGAGTTCAAGTGCAGTCACGCGGCAGCCATATTTATTTATGGCATCCATAACCTTAGCAGGACGGACCTGGAATGCCAATGGAAACGAAAGCGAAAGGCAGAAAGCGTACAGTCTGCAAGCCAGATGTTTCCAGCGCCACCGAAGAAGAAGGATTACAGCCCTTTGGCGCGCGATCCTAGCCGAGAAGATCGGATGTGGCTGTACAGCGAACTAAAGCGCTATGGCAAATTTACAGGGACCTGCTGGATCTTGAGTCCCGAACCACAACCTGCTACCCCTCTCCCGATCAAGACGATTGAGGATATCATTTACTCAGAAGGTTTCCTTATGGCATCTACGAAGGAAAAACAATTAGAGTACTTGATTGAGAATGCCAAAGTAGAGGAGAGAACCATAAATGTTGTGAGCACCCTCACGGCTGGCCAGCGAAACAGCCCTGCATGGCACCAAGCTCGTAGAGGCCGCCTGACTGCCAGTAATTTTGGCTCCGTCCTCCAGGCAAAAAGAGTTACACCGTCTCTTATCAAGCGACTACTTGGGGAATACAACTTGAGTGGAGTTAAAGCAATTGCATGGGGACAGGACAATGAGACTGAGGCCCTGAAATCCTTCACCAACATCACAAACTTTACACCTGTACAGACCGGCCTTTGGCTACACGAGTCGGGAGTTCTGGGTGCTTCCCCTGATGGACTTGTGGGAGACGACTCGGTGATTGAGTGTAAGTGCCCCTACACACATCGAAATGCGACAATCAAGGAAGCTTGTGGGCACAAAGACTTTTACTTGGAGGAGAAGGAAGGGAATTATACGCTGTCTACCACACATGTTTACTGGCATCAGTGTCAAGGCCAGATGTTCCTGACAAAGCGCAAATTCTGCTACTTTGTTGTATGGACCACAAAGGATAGTGTAGTTATCAAGATTGAACGAGATGAATCTTGGGAGCACAATATTACTATCTTGAGTGATTTTTACTTTCATCAACTATTCCCAAAGATTACCGAGGGAGAACTTTGAAAAGTGGTGCACAGATGCTGGACATAATCAGAGTGGGGGGGGGAGTGGGAGCTAATGTAAATAGGCAGTAGCTAATGTTAAAAGGTATTTTTTTAAATTTCATACATTAATTTCTTAATATAACATTACATATTCTACACTCAGATAGAGACACAAGATAAAGAACCCACATTTTTCCATTTAGCATAGTAACTTAATAATAAATTACATTCTTCCTGAAAGCAAGCTTAAACAATTTTTTTTTTGCAACCAATGGCTACTGGTAGCTGGTAACACTTATCCTGGTTACTCAACAGGGCCCAGGT